GAAGTTCTTTGCTAAGTTTTCACAAAGAGTTTCTCTTACCACTGATATTTGGACAAGTTGTCAAAACCTCAATTATATGTGTCTGACAGCTCACTTTATCGATGAAAACTGGGTTTTGCAAAAAAGGATTATAAACTTCTGCTCCATTATCAGTCATAAAGGTTTAGCGATTGGCAAGGCAGTGGAGAAGTGTTTGCTTGAGCGGGGTATTTCAAAAGTTTTCACAATCACTGTTGATAATGCAAGCTCTATGTAATATCCCACTTGAGGTACGTGTTTAAGATTTGTTGTATTAGTTAAAAGTTTATTGTTTCAACTTAAATTGAGTTTATATGTTGAGTTGGTTGAATTGTTGCCTTGAAAATTGGTTGAGTTTTGGTGAAGTTGGAAATCCAAACTTCGCCGGGGCGAAGAAGAAGCTTCGCCGCGGCGAGGAGGAGAAGTTGCATTACGGGTAGGTTCTGCCCTTTTTCGCCGAGGCGACGAAAAATGCTTCGCCGCGGCGATGAGCCTAAAACAAAGATTCTTGAGTTTTCTAGAGAATTCTTCTTTTGGGACACAATGACCATTCTACCCCTAATTAGTAGGAAAAGTGGGGAGTAAAATGAAAGGAAATTTAGTAGAGATTGTGTTTGTATGGGGGTGTAGTTGTAAAGAATCAAAGGATATAGATGGAATTTTCAAGAAAGGACAAGGGCAAAATGGGAAATGAAGCTTTTAATATGAACTAAAAAGAGTAAAGTGTAGAGAAAGCCCTTACTCATCTTCATTCCACCGCCTCTTCCATTGCCCATATTCTCTCAATTTCTCCACCCAATTTTCCAAGAGTTCTAAGGGATTTAAGAGGGGTTTTGAGTAGAGATTTCATCTAAAGCTTTCTAAGGTAAGAATTCATGCTTTAGATGTGAGTTTTCTTGTATTTATAGTGAGGTCTTATTGTGTTGTTGCTGCCCTTGTGGTTGTTTTGAGTTGTAGAGAAGAGACAAGCCAACAAAGGGAAGGAAAAGTGCTAAGGAACCCATCTTTGCACAAGGTAAGTAAATCCAACCAAGTTGAGTTATGACTAAGCTTTGAGTAGAGACTTATTTTAATTATGTATGTACATGGTATACCTACTGAAAATTGAGATGAGATGTGTGCTTAGTCTTAGTAGTTGGGATTGATTAAATATGAGAAGTGTTGTTGATATGTGTATTGAGAATGGAGTTTGAGATGAAGTTTGAGAGATGTTGTGTAATCCTTTTTGGGAGTGCTTTTCTTGACAGGGATTATGAGTAATTGAGGGAGTTTTTCCCCAATTTGGATGGCTAGAAAAATGAAGTTTAGTAGTAATTTTCGTAGGGTGTTTATATGCACATGAGATGTTTGAGGAAATGCCTAAGTGAAATCTGCCCTGTCACTGCCGTAACTTTCTGAGTAATTTTTGAGTATCTTACGGTTCGAACTGGGCTGAGACCAAAACAGAGAAGTTGTAGCCCTGTTTCTAAGCTTTGAAACGAGACCAGAACCGTAGTAATCCGAGATGTATAGCATAAGTTATGGCCGTTTTAGTGTGACTGGTGCAGAATGACTGTTTTGAGGAAATCTTGTAGTTGGCATTTCATTAGTGCATTAGGGAGCATGAGATAGCTCTACACCTTTGTTTATACACTTGAGAAGTAGCTTGAGATTTAGTATAGAATGTGAGTATAAGTTCTTTAAGAGTTAAGAGAATAGAGTAGGTTGTGCGATGGGGAACCCGTGAGTAATGGGTAGAGTATTCCCGCATGTACGCCGCATTGAGAGAGCGGCATGAGTATCAGATAGAGAAGTGGTGTAGCCCGTGAGAGTGCATGCGGATGAGGGCTATACCCGAGTACCCGAGAGAGAGAGATTATAGACTCACATGGCCAAGGGTTCCGAATCCATGCATAACCGAGTCCGATCGGCTAGAGTGAATAGAGGTCACGTAGAGCGGGAGTGAGTCCCGGCCGTGCCCCCGGTGAGATGGGGTCGTGATTTATGAAAGAATTATGAGAAAAGAGTTCCTAAGGGAAAGAGAAAGAGATAAATAGAGCGGAACCCAAAGAGAAATTGCATGAGGGATTGTAAGGAAAGAATTAGAGAGAGAGAGTTACGGGGATAGCATGAGTAGAGGATTTACTTACTGAGCATTATTTTAGTGCTCACCCCGTTGTTTTTCCATGTTTTGCAGGACCTAGGTGAGGACACTGTCGGATGGATGTCGGCGTGCGAGGAGGAGTGGCTACACTGTCCCTGATGTTTTGATGACTTTTTGTATATGTTATATATATATTTTGTGTAAAAATGCATATGTTTGTAAAGAGTATGTATATATGTTTAATAAAAGAAAAACTTGGGCCCAATTTCTTTATGTTATTTTATATGTATTTCATTATAATCTTTTGAGTAGTAGTGGCTATTACACTCTAATGATGTTGGAATAAGTTATCTAAAGACTCGATTGGGAAGTTGGAAGGGGAGTGTCTTGGATAGTGACTTCCTCCACATGAGATATTGTGCTCATATATTGAGTTTAGTTGTAAAAGAAGGATTAAAAGATATAGAGGACTCCATATTTCGAATTCGTTCGGTAGTGAGGTACGTGAGGTCTTCTTCAGCAAGGTTATAGAAATTTAAGGAGTGTGTGACAAAAGAAAAAATTGAAAGTAAAGCTCAGTTGGTTCTCGATGTTGAAACAAGGTGGAATTCCACATACTTAATGTTGGAGGCGGCAGTAAAATTTTAGAAAGCTTTTGAGTTGTTGGAAATAGAGGATAGTAAGTATTCAGATGAGCTTAGTAGTGAGGAAAGGTTTAAGGGTTTGCCTACATGCATTGATTGGGAGTATGCACGATACTTCTTACCTTTTTTGAAAGTCTTTTATGATTCAACTCTACGTGTTTCTAGCTCACTTTATGTCACTAGTAATGCTTACGTGCGGGACATTTTTGGCATTAGATTGAAGATTTCAAAATGGTGTAGAATGTAGATCCTGGGTTACGTACTTTGGCTCTAAGGATGAAGGGGAAATATGATAAATATTGGTCAAATATTGATAATATCAACCTCATGTTATTCATTGCAGAGGTACTAGATCCGAGACACAAGTTAGAATATGTGAATTGGGTTATTAATGAGTCTTTTAATACGGTTCTTGCTGATAGGTTGAAGACAAAAGTGAAGGAAGTTTTGGTGGCTTTATTTGAGCAACATAGTTCGTTTAAGCACTGTTTTAAAACCCGGACCGGAGGGCAACTCATTCTACTGCCAAGGTCACGGTTCAACCGGTTGGACCATCGGTTGGACCGGTGACGTCATCACACAGCATGATGATGTCAACATATTTAAAAAAACCTGTTTAAATCGATAATTTGTGTAAAATAACCTGTTTATATTAATTAAAATATTTTAGAATGGAGAATTACGATACGGATTCAGTTGATACGGTACTCTACGTCTTGGGTGCAAGATTGATTAAATCGGGAGTTCTCAGTACATATATAAGAGGTTTATATTAATTACACACGTTTTCTTCTATTCTCAACTTTAGTTTTTCTTTCATTTTTGGCTTTTTTGCTAAACGATGGAAAAAGAAACCAAGACCTTGGAGAGGTAGTACAAGTCCTTATCTTTACTCTTCTCCAAGATATATGCGCAAGCAAGCTCCAGTGGCATTGGCTCCCTAAGTTCATGCTCACCAAATGATATATACATAGTAACAACTATCATATATGCGTTCGATGTCAGTTGAAATGGAGCGACCTAGAAGTGGTCGAGGATCGACTTGATGTAGAGGTGGAGGGGTATCCTCACTCCGCATTTGAAGATGGCTTTCGAGATCGTAGCCATTCCCTTGGGAGGCTCCTAAGTAGTATACGACCTCTTTTGGAATACGTCCATGTCGATTGTGTACTACTCCAATGCATCTTTGATTTCGTCCATTGTGATAGTGGATCTTATCACCTTCTTGGGACCTATCGAGGTGCCCGGTGGATGCGAAGTTCTGTCGCCAGCTGGTCTCATCTCAGGGATCTTCGTTACCCTTAGAGTCTGTAAAGGTACGACGTTTAAGGGAGACTCAAACCTTGAAAAATCTTCCTCATATGATGACTCAAAGGAGTAAAAGAACCCTGTGTTTTTTTGCCATGGCCGTCAAGCTTCTAAACCCCAAACTCTTAAAAACAGTCCTCTAGGACTCTTTACCCTAAGTATTTGGTCTTCAAGTATTTCTTTCAAACACTACCCATAAATGCTCCATTCTTAAGCTTACCAGACACCCATGACCACCATGACTATAAAAAGAAGTTTTTGCAGGAATGAAAAAAAGAGAAAAAGGAAGAAACCTCTTTGCCTTTTGGTTGCCTGAAATGGATGCTCTGTTGTAGTGTTGGGTTAGCATGAACTGGAGAAGGAGAAACATATTTTTTCGAGGTTGAAAACGTTGTTTTCTCTCTGAAAAATTTGAGTTTTCTGAAAACTTGGGACAAAGTTAGGGTTTTATAGGATAGAAGACAACGCTGCTGTTTCTTTTATAAGCAACGTTTGGACGGAAATGTGCTCTCATCTGTAGAATAGTGATAGAATTATGGATGCCTATGGCTTGTTTCGGCTAAAATATAAAATTTGTTTGAAACCAATAAAATATATTGGATTATAATTTTTAAGAACTTACGAGTATATTCCTATAACATGGTTAAATATTTTGCCAATTGGGCACATAACTCTTAAATAAAGGCAACGTCTATCCTGAATCAAAAAGGAGAAAAATCAGCATACCGGTTGTCCTTATAAAAAATTCCACACCCATCACGCTTCTGCCCACTTTTCTGAATATATATACTAGAATAACCGTCAAGTCTTCAAATTTGCTTTGTAAAAGTCATTGTCATCTAATTCCTGGTAAGGCTCATAATATAAACCACAAAGGCAATATATTCTCATAAATGACTGTAAATAAAAGTTGAAACACATGCTTTATGCACCTGCACTAGATGATAAATATGAAGGAACACAATTTTTGGTAAAGAAAATTTTAAAATTCACTGATTATGTCGGAAGCAAAGACAAAACAGAACCCTCAATCCCACCAACATATATATGTAAATGAAACCTATAAGCATAGGAAGTCAGCACCAAAGTTCTTCAGAACAGTTACAATTGCCTTTGACCGGTTCTTCCACCTGTGACGCACACAGATTATGTTAGGATCCTACAATGAAAGGGAAAAGGGTGGACATGTACGTTATAAATGTTGAGTTATTGGAATGAGTTTTTATCATATTATAAACATGAAAACTCATGTAATTACTTAGTCAGATGGCAGGCTATAAGATACCTAATCTGCCAACAAAAGAGTGGACGAGTTGTCAATCCATAAACATCAGAAGCCCTTGACTTAAAACTCAAAAAGAAAAGCTCTCCCTAATCATGTTATAGAAGGTCCTAATACAAATGAATAAAGAAAAGGAGGTTTCTTGAAGCTCCAAAGAAAAGTTTTTTTAAGTATAAGAAACATCAGAAGCCCTTGACACTTAAAGTTCAAAAAAGAACCCTAATCATGTTATAGAAGGTCCTAATTCAGTGAATAAAGAAAACGAGGTTTCTTGAAGCTCTAAAGAATAGTTTTTTACAGTATATGAGATACGAAATCAGGTTGGTGGTTTTGAAAAACAAATGTTGTCAGAATAAAGCTTATTACAAATGCATGATTAATGATTTCAATTACAAGTAATGACAACTTTATCTTTTGTCCTAGAGCTAAAAGGTGCAGTCAAGAAGCACGGAACAAAAGGGATGGAACAAAAGTGTGAAGATTTCCATGAGGCAAGCAGCTGGAGAGTGTGGAAAGAGAGAGCTCTTCACATAAACCTGTACAATAAAACAATGTCCGGCATGTTAGAATTAAAGTAATAGCTGCTGCAGAAAATTGACATGTTAATTCAAAAACTACTATAACCAAGCACCAAAAAATTTTAATATCTCAAAATTACATCCATTGAATTCCATCATAGGTTTAAGCTTATATACAAGTCAACCTTAATAGAAAACTCAGATGAGCTCCAATCCAACAGAATACACAAATCCCTATATTTCAAGGTTGCAATGATGCAACCCAAAAAGAATTTACATAGTTTTTGGCCTTCAAAGTGTTACATTTTTTTCCCCACCAATGTTTCAACTGCTATTACGACAAAGTAGATATAGGTATCATGAAGTCGTGGTAGGCCATGGTTTTAAAAATAGAATGCTTTACATCTTTATGCTCTTCAACCAAAGTGATATTGGCACCAGACAAAAGCAACAACTTCCTATAAGTACCCCATTAGATAATAAATAAGATGAAAGAAACTTGATAGGTTAAAAAATCACAATACATCACTTAAATTACTAACAATTGACAGCTGATGACAAGTTTATCATACCTGTGCTAAAATGTTATAGGAGACAAGACTGATATTGACTCCTGAAGTATCAAATTTGAGAAATCAGGCCTAGTTACCAAATTTCGAGATGCCATGGTAGAGACAGTGAATGAAAATCTCTCTGTTCATCATAATGTTTCCTTTCTAGCCACAAACAACATCCAGCAACCACAGAAGTTGTTTCCACTTGACTATGTCCAAAATTTTGCATCTTTTGTTTTGAAAGAGGGTAAAAGCAAACTTAGTAGTTGACTTTTGCTCGGAGGGTACAAAGATTAAATAAAAACCCAAAATCGTGCATTTGGATTTTATAAATCCAAAATTAATTTTGGGTTTAAGGGAATTTTACCCTCTAGACACCTAATGGCTCTCTGTCACTACAAGCAGTAACCCCAGGGAGGGTTGAACCCCTTACATCGTTGGACCATAGTTATATATTTTAACACATTGTCCCTTCATTTATGTGGTAAAACCAAATTAGTTGTCACACCACTTGGAATACAAAATTATTTTGTTAGTACAGCATTAGCGTACAATTAAAATGAGATGAAAACGACATTAAATGACCATCGTTGCCCTGCACAATGCATGTTCCAAAACTGATAAACTGCCAAACACTGGTACTATTGAATAGCATCCCCATCGAATATAATGTCAGATCACACAACAATTTTCGCAAATAATTTAAGTCCTCATAACCAATGTACATCTTGAATCATGATAAAATTGTAGCAAAAGGCAATATTTGAAAGGCATACACAATTTTCCTAACTGTTCGCTCTTTAGTCTTCAATAGCATTAAAATTCCTAAACTTGCGGGCCTAATTTTATATTTGGAGCAAGATAAAAGTAGATTAGGGTCCCTATGCTTTTTAAGAATCCTAAATCCTGTAAATTATCAATCTTGAGAGTTCCAATTGGTAAGAGTTAGATTACTCAAGATTCAAGAGTGTTGTTGTTCAGATGTAACAAGAACGTAAATAATTATCTTAAGTAAAAACATGGCCATGGGTAGGGAAAATATACATCAAAGTGTCAATATCATGACAGTAATACTAAAAAATATCAGTCGTGCATGATTGCAAATGATTAACCAATAAATCAAAAAGTTGCATACCATTGCTTTTACTCCTTGAACGGATATCATCCCCTATATATATATAGAAGCACTTTCTATAAAGTGATCTTATCTGTATTACTGTTATCATAGGGATGAGTGTGGAACGGGGCCGAAGATCCCATTTTCTATCCCCGTCCCTGCCCTTTCCCTGCAAGGTGGAGACTTACGAGAACGATGGGGAATCTCTGCCGCCCGGACACAATTTCACCAACCAAAGTGCAAAATCCAAAATCCAAAATACACAAACCTATCACCAAAAAAAAAAAAAAAAAAATGGTGTACACAAAAGCAATTATAAACACTGGAGAACACCCAGCCTTCATCCAGCAACAGACTAGTAAAAATCCACTGGACCCACATCATAAAATGAGCTAATGAAGACATAAATTAAAGTTGGCTAAGCAAATAAGCAAGAAGAAAGATCATAAACATGGAGATATTTTTCACATAACATTCTTTTAGCAAGTATATCATCAAAGTAATGGTGTACAACCTCCAATGCCTCCAATTACAACCTTGGAAAGAATACTAAAAGGAGAAAGAAGGTTTAAGTCTTACAGAGTATCTTTATTGACCAACTAAGATGCTGTGCACTGCTGACCTGGGAACAGACAAAGCCAGAAAAAAGGTCACAAAGATGGTGATATTCATCATATGAACTAGTTTGTTACTCCTAATGCATAGTCCATAGAACACCAAACTTACCAAATTACCAAAATTGGTCTCATTTGAATTCAAGCTTCTTGCCTCAGATGACTTCCTGGTCAGTACTTGCATAATAATGAGACTTCAGTAACACAAGTGAAACATGTGAAAGTTCATTCCAATATTACCCTAACAGTGTCTATCCAGGGAAATGTTTATTGCTTTCATGATTCCAACTCGTTTGCACATTTATCTGGAATATCCTTCTTTTTTTCCTTCAACATACTGGTCAAGATAACTTGATCTAGACTAGCAGCAAACAAACATTAATATTTGGAAACTTAATAATAATGCCATTTCAGGAGGCTGAATTGTCTAAAACTATAATGCACTCTTTCTTTGTTCGACAAGATAGTGTTAATTCGTTATTAAAATTTTATAAAAGGGATTCTCACCATTTTTAATTTAATCTTACAGGAATTTGATTTTAAATTTCCAGAAAACCTCTTTTTTCTTTACCCAAAATAGCCTTTAGTACAAATATTCAAACTTTTCTTTACTTTCTAATCGCCATAAATCATGATGCATACTTTATCATAGTCAGCTTCAAGCTTGATAAGTGGTGCAAATACATTTTGATACTGCAAGAGAAAGGGATTCAAGATTAATAGCCATGAGACTAATTGCAATTTCTTCAAATATTATCATTTGATACACCAAACCAAAATTTTAAATTATTTGTGAACACAGAAACCTGATATGCATCTTCATACTTCAAGGCCACAGGTTGAGGTTCATCATTCACACCAGGCTTCTCAAGATCTTCAAGGGTAGAATCAGGATTTGTCTTCCAAAGTTCTTCTACCTTGTTAATTTGTTGAGCACTGATCTGACGTGCCCTCAACTGCTTCTGCTCTGATGGGATCTGTGAAGAGCAAACATGTTAGCAAGTCTAAGAATAAAGGACAAAAATCAATAACAAAAAGAAAAATACCAACCTTAACAAGCCATTGCAAGAAACACCTATCATCAATCAACGCTATATCACAAATCCAATTAGCATACTTGATTGCACCCAGTTGAGCACATGCTGAAGTAACACCAACCAAAGTAGTTTCATCTGTTTCAACACCTAAATTTTGCATTCTCTCAAAATATCCTATTGCTTCTCTAGGCCTAGCATTCTATGTGTAACCAGTGACCCTCGCAGTCCAGGCCATCATATCCTTTAAAGGCAACCCATCAAACACTAGCAGATTTCATATCCCCACACTTGGTATATGCAACAATCAACAGAGTCAAAGAAATCACGTCTTCTTCAGGCATTTCATCAAACACCTTACGCCCACAATCTAAAAACCCGCATTTTACATACCTATCAATCAAGGTATTATCGACATATAGATCAAACACAAAACCGCCAACCAAAATCGTCTAGTATGCAACTACCTACCCAAATTCACATCGAGAATCTCACTACAGGCCTTAAAAAGTGCAGAAAACGTAAAAGAAACCAGGTCAATACCTTGTCTCCTCATAGAACCATATAACAAAATTGACTCCTTCAAGTGTACTTGTAAAGAATACCCACAAATAAAAGCAGTTAAAGAAAGAGGTTTTTATATTTCATCTGCTAAAAAATGAGAGGAAGATAGGAATCCGTGGGAATCAACAAAATTGACTTGGTTCAAATTGAGGGAGAATAGGGTTTGTTTGGGTTTTGGTTCGGAGAAGAAGAAAAGAGCAGTTGGAGTTGGGAGTGACTATTGAGGTGTGTAGGAGAAGCTGCTCTTATAACGGCGAAAGTGAAGTTTGGGCTATCAAATTCAACCGTGATTTTTGCATTTGACCATTTAAGTGGAGGATATTTAACTCTTGGATTAGCTCATTTAACATTATCAATTTTCAAGTAGTTTATTCAACATCAAACTAATGATTTAACGAGGTTTAGCATTTTATAAATTTAAGATACTGAATATGATAAAGATCAAACACTTGATATTTTTCAGTAAGAGAAATGAAATCAATTAATATGATTTTATGGTTATTTTTGTATATATTTACCTTCTAAAATAATGAGATGGTTATATGTAGCAACACCCTCTATATATATATATATATATATTGAATTATTTATTTTATAAATTTAGCATTACATTTTTAACTCTTTTAATTAGAGGTCTAATTGTCCACCCCAAAGGTTTGATGTTATTTTAGGATTTATCGTTTAAGAATCTCACTAGAATCACATAATCAAACATAGCAGCAAGTATCATCATGGACGGACCCAACTATTGATGTGTGGGGGCTGGTGACCCCAGTGCTCTTTTTTTCTTTTCGTTATTTTGGTTTAGTTTAGGTTTTTGTTTTTTGTTTTTGCTTTGCCCATCTTGTATTTGTATGAACGTTTCTGTATTTGACTCAACTTATTTACTTTTCTCCTATTTTATATTATATTATTTTTAAATTTGCCCTTCTAAAGTTAATTCCTAGGCCCGACCCTATATCATATAACAAGTTCCGAACCACACACTTTAGCAGACAAAAAAGAGAAATGACCAAATAAAAGTATAAAGAGAAAATATAGGAAGAAACAAGAATTAAAGATGATTAAAAAGACCCAGGCTTCGTTTGTTTCAATTCTCAGAATACTACTTTTAGTATTCCCAAAAAAGTTAAACAGTAAAATACCCAAAAACTTTGATTTTTGGGAATACTACTCTCAATATTATTCAACTTTTTTTAAACCCCTTAAATTTGATAATTTAATTAAATACCCCTAAATATTTTTTTAAAAATTACAAAAACACCCCAGTAATTCATATTTACCAGATTCCGGCCACCACTGCAGGAAAATGGTTGGAATCTGTTAGGATGGCGCACTACCGACTAAATCTGGCCGGTAGTGCACCGATCTAATCTGACCGGAAAATGCCAGATCTTTGGCCGTAACAGTTTATAACGACGGCCAACAAACGGTCGTCGTTGACCATCAACGACGACCGTTTGTTGGTCGTCGTTGACGAGCAAATACGGCCAGATCGGCGCATGACCGGCAAGATCCAGCCGGTCATGCGCCAATACAGTGAACCCGGCCACCCTCCGGCGGTGGTGGCCGGTTGTCCGTATTTGACATTGGGTTGGGGGTGTTTTTGTTAACTTTTAAGATTTTATTATAGGGGGTGTTTTGTAAATAAACAAATATAGAGGGTATTTTATAATTTATAAATTCTACATCATAATACCCGCCCAATTCAACTTTTTTTTTTTAACTTTTTTCAGAAAACTTTTCCCAAAAACACCCAATTGTGAACCAAACGAAGCCTGGTTTATTTCAACCCCACAATCAAATATGATTATAATGTAACAAATTCGGAAGAGATAAAATAGAGAAGGAGTGAATACAGAAAATTGCTTTATTGATATGTATTACTGAAATGAATGAACACCAATTTAGAGGATTACATTTCACCAGTTTTCCTATAAAGACTCAACAGAAGATAACAAGGTTGACATATTACTACTCCTAAAAGATCTCAACAGACCTGATTATTCTGGAAGCTAATTGATTTATTCAACTTCCTAAGTTCAAGCAATGTTATCTCAACACCCCCTCTCATTGCTTAGTTCCTCAACATTCTTTATTCCTAAGCTTTCTTGAATCCGTTGAACTGATCTGAACATAAAGCTTTGGTGAAAATGTCAGCAACTTCATCCTTTGTTGAAATGTAGAGCAAATCAATCTCTTTGCTAATAATCTTCTCACAAATGAAGTGATAGTGAACCTCAATGTGTTTCGTACGAGCGTGAAATGTTGGATTAGATGCTAACATTATAGAACTGATGCTGTCACTTTTGATAGGAACTTTGTAATCAACCTTTTCTCCCAAATCTTTAATTAGGTGAGTCAACCAAATACTCTCGCAAGTAGCTAACATAGCAGCCCTATATTCCGCTTCGGTTGAAGACAGTGCAACAGTTGGTTGTTTCTTGCTTGCCCATGAGACACTTCCAGAGCCAAGATTAAAACAAAATCCAGAAATTGATCTACGAGTAGATAGGTCTCCTGCCCAATCTGCATAACAGTATCCTGATAGCTTGATCGGTATACCCTGATTGTAAAAAACTCCTTCATCAATTGTTCCTTTCAAATATTTCAGAATCCGCTTGACTGCATCTAGATGTGGCTCCCTTGGACTTTGCATGAATTGACTTACAATGCCTAATGAATAGGCCAAATCAGGACAAGTGATTGTTAAATAAACAAGACTACCAACAATCTCTCGATATAGTTGCAGATCATCAATGTGCGCTCCTTCTTGTGACAATTTGTGGTTGACTTCTAATGGAGTTGCCACTGATTTTGCATCCAGAAAACCAAACTTTGCAAGAAGATCTAGAGCAAACTTCTTCTGAACAATTAGTATGCCTTCATATGTCCTTAAAACTTCAATTCCTAGAAAGAACTGAAGCTTTCCCAAATCTATCATGTCAAATTGTTGGAACAAGGATTTCTTAAAACTGTCAACATCATCAGAGTTACTTCCCATGATTATTAGGTCATCAACATATATTGCACATATAGTTGTTGATTTAGGGGAGATTTTAACAAAGATGCATGAATCAGAATGGGTGGAAGCAAACTGATGTGAATTGAAAATTTCTCTAACCTTACTAAACCAAGCTCTAGGAGCTTGTTTTAGTCCATACAACGCCTTCTTGAGTTTGCATACGTAGCTTGGCCTTTTTGCATCTTCAAATCCTTCAACTTACTCCATGTATACTTCTTTATCAATCTCTCCATGTAGGAATGCATTTTTCACGTCCATTTGGTGGAGTTTCCATCCTTTTGATGCTTCAATGGAGATGATGACACGAATGCTAGCAATTTTTGTTAGAGTCGATGCCCTAGAGCCAATCAATTATTGTGGAATTGACTCTTTGTAATAATGTTCATTAATCAATAATAAAAGGCATTTTATTCTATATCGCGTAAATCATTATTATTGCAATATGTATTGATATATGTCCTTAGAATGGTAGAACCGTGACGAGGGTATCAAGTGTTTCAAATCTTGATAGTGAGAACCCTATGAGCACATATGGTGGCCATTCTAACTTCCGTACCTAGTATTTTCGAAGTAGGCACAGATAATCACGGTAAGGCTATCATATTGTTGAACGACCCTGTCGAAAGGCAGTGACTGATCTCACTTGTCAGGTTGTTTGGTGACAACCTGGTGCAACACATGGGTGCTTGTTGTAGCGGATATACCGCAGCAAGTTCACTGGACTGACCCACCAGAGGATTCCATATGGATGGTAACCCCAGTGTCTATGGAACAATCCTCTAACGATGGTGGTGCATGTGATCCTTAGACTTGAGATCACCGAGTGCCTTGTGCACCGATTGGTACATTTTGACACGACCTAACGCAGTTCTATTCAGAGCTGTCAGTACGGTGGTGATTGGCTATATCAAGAGTGTATCAAACTATGTGGATTGATAAAGGATTCATCACTCCCGGTACGGGAGAAGTTATCCTCACGGCGCATTCGTATATGGCAATGACACTAAAACTGTGGCCACATGGGATTGAGTTTTTGCTCTATCCAGATTATGAACGGTCATTGGTCCAGAAACTGAATATATATATCGAGAGTAACCGAAGGTTGACACTATTTCTATGCCTTCGTCTCGTCGAGATAACGTAGAGAAAGGATCGTATTGTACGGTAACCATATCGTTGAAAGGTAGCTACTTGTGCAATCGAATCTATCGGGTGGCCATGATGCCTTGCTAGGGGCCAATCTTGGTCTGTGTATTAGTGAGACGATTAATTGGTGTTAATCGCGATACTATACACTACCGTATGATAGGAGCCTATGGGTCACACACATAAAGATAATTTAAGACCAAGAAGAAAGAAGGGCGTTTTCGTCTTTTTAGGCAAAAGGGTATTTTGGTAATTTCACAGTGCAATTAATTTTGCTGAGGTCGTAGCCTATTATTTATTGTTAAAAATTAAATAATTGAAATTACGGTTAATGTGTGTTCGCACATATTTAATTAAATCTCATTATTGTAAATGTTAATTAATATTAATTGATTTTTAATTAAGATAATGATGAATTAATTAAAATATCAAATGGGAGTGTTTGGCAACATGGTGTTTGGGTTGGAGCCCAAGCCCATTCCATGTGGGAATAGGGCAACTTGGTTTGCCTATAAAAAGAATAGTGTGTGATTCATTCTTAAAAAATTTTAAAAAGAAAACACACAGCAGCCCCTTATACACTCTCTCACGCCAATCTCACTGTTTGATTGAAAAATCAATACTGATCTTCTTCTTGATTTCTTAAGGCCAGGAGGATCTAGCAAATCCTCCTTGGTTCTTGTGGTTGTCTTCGTGTAGACTTCTTGGTTCGATCCTACACTTGGATCGGTAGCAAACACATTCGAGACAACATTGGTGGAGCCTCCAAACGTGGGTATAAATCTAAACCTTTGGATTTATTTTTCTGCAGATTCATATTATGCATAAACTGTAAAATCTATGCCCTGATTTTGGGTTCTAAGGAACGATCCGTAGTTTTAAAATTTTTGTTTTCCGCTGCGCAACCGGTCTTTCCTAACAGTGGTATCAGAGCCTTAGGGTACTAGATTTACAGTTATTGAATGTTGATACATGTATTTGTTGATAACATGCTGCCTTGAGAATCTGCCATGAAAAACCCAGTTTTTGAAAAATCTGTAAATCTGAAAAATCAGTTTATGCTGAATGTTCAAATGATAACTGGTTTAAAATGTGTTGATGAATGTTATATGGTGGGTTAATATCCTGGTTGAACGCGTGTGCGTTTGATTTGATTTGGATTAGTGTTTACACAAAACTGCAAAACTGAACTTAGGAATTGGGATTTCCAGGTTTCGCCGCGGCGAAGCTGAGCCTCTGGACAGTTTCGCCGCGGCGAAGATAAACCTTCGCCGCGCGAAATCTGTGGCGGCTAGACCTAATTTAAATCCTCGCCGCGGCGAAGTAAAACCTTCGCCGCGGCGAAGTATGCCAGAGCGAAATGCATACTGTAAATCCTCGCCGGGCAAAGATAAAACCTTCGCCCGGCGAAGGATGTAGTTTTCCCCATTCTGTATTTTTTTTTCCTGAAAGGGACTAATCTGCAGTTTTAATAACCTATAAAGCCAATGTACATTCTGCACATTTAAGAGGTAATTAATTAATTAACCCACCCAATTCAAAATTTGATTGTTTTTGAAATGTATGCTTTGTACTTGTTTGTATATTGCATGGTGCGCGTACAGAGCCTTAACCTAGGGTGAATGTTTTAAATTATTTTGGGTATGTATGGCTGTAATATTTTAAATAGGGCCTGCGTGTCCTGCCTCTCTCTTCTTCTTAATGTACATTCTTTTCTCATCTCATTCCCCTCGAATGTAACGAGGTTTCTAAATTTGTTGATGTAAAATTAGTTTAATATTAATTTTATTGTAATTTAGAATGATGTTTTTGTAATGTACCTGGAGACGGAGCGAAGGACGAGGCAACCATACTTGAAGACTCAAGATTTTGTTACAGGATCCCTAGGTGACCCCCCGATCCCTCTAGGCTCGAGGAGATCGGTTTTAGTTAGGCCATGTACCGGCACGTTTAATATTTTGTTTAGAATGCATGCTAAGGTTGAATGTTGAATAACATGCCAAACAATGTCATTCTAACAAAGATAATAATCTGATGAGACATTAAATAACAACCCCTCAACTAAGTATTTAAGTCACCTCTGCCTTCCATCACCATGGTTTTAATCAAACCACTGTTCGTCGAAACCTTGTTCGCCAAAGCGAAGGGTACACTTCTACCAGTGGGAGGTTAAATTCATTGGAGTTTTCCTTAATGGTGATGGGTCGACTTAAAATGACGGTTTTGCTTGTTCGCCAAAGCAAGGTTGATAAACGCGTCATAGCATAGTAGAGCAGTACACATATTATGTGTACGTGTGTGACATGTAGTGTCCACTCTACTGATACTGAGAATCACACTTGAGGACATGTTTGGAGCCATTGAATTGTGTGATTGGCGTTGGCTTTTTCACATTTGAGTTTGATAGTGGGAGCTATCAATTGGTGTGGATTAAGTTTGTTGGCCTACCTAATCAACCCATTTTGGCTTGTTCGCCAAAGCGAAGGTTTGAAATGGGCAGGATGGGATCTCGGTCCACTAGAAACCAACGGGCTTTCCCGAGTTAATAGTGAGGGCTATTGGCTTGAGTAAAATAGTGGGAGCATCGTTTAATAAAAGACCATATTAATAATGAACCTTATAATAACTTTATCTTTTCTGCAATTGTAGATTCACCGAAAATGAGTATTATGAACCTGCGACCGATAATCGAAAAGAAAACAGGTTGGATGGATCCATTTCTCAGACTGTATCGAATCTTCGGATCATACTTAAGTCAGAAAAGAAATTGTATATCCTTGAAAAGCCATACATGGCTGAGCCTGATCCGATGCCACTCAGGAAGTTAAGGATACTTATCAAAAGTTCCTTGATGATGCTGATAGCGTACAATGCTTGATGTTAGCATCGATGACACCTATGCTGCAAAAGCAGCATGAGAATATGGATGCTTCTTCCATAATTCTACACCTCAGGAGCTTTATGAAACAAATGCTCGACATGAGAGGTACAAGTGTCGAAAGCACTGTTTGGAGTCGTCTGACTGAGGTGCCCAAGTTGGTCCTCATGTGCTCAAGATGATCGAGCACATTGAGGCTTGAGACTTGGGATGTGGCTTGGATGCGAATTACAAATGGATTTAATTCTGCATCCTTGCCTGACTCTATGTGCTCCGTTCATAATGAATTTCAATATGAAACCGAGGAGAAAACCCTGTCAGAACTTCTGAACATGCTGGGACTGCAGAGCAGGACTTGAAAAAGTCCAACCTGTTTTACTGGTTGCTGCCAGTAAAGCAAGGGTAACGGCAAGGGTAAGGCCAAGGCCAAACCCAAGCCTAAGCCCAAAGGACAGTTGCTCTTGGCCTGAGAGTGGCATAGGAAAGGGCAAGGTAGTCTGCTTCTTTTGTGGCAAGCCTGGCCACTGGAGGAAACACTGCAAGGCTTTCCTCGCAAGTAGAAGAAGTCAGAGGCTACGACCTCAGGTACTTTCATGATTGAGATTAACTTCTCTCCCTCACACATCTTGGGTCATGGACACAGGATGTGTACTCACATTTGTACTGATGTGCAGGGACTAGGCAGAGTAGAGTGCTCGCCAAGGGAGAGGTGACCTACGAGTTGGAAATGGAGCACATGTGGCTGCATTAGCTGTAGGACTTATTGTTTATCTTTGCCTACGGGCTTATTGTTGGAACTACATACTGTTATCACGTACCTTCTATTTCTAGAAATTTATTCAGTATCCGTTTTGGATAATATGGGTATCATTTTTGAGATATTAATGGATTGTTGTCCTTTAGTTTGAATGGTATTCTATTTGGAATTGCAAGGTTTATAATGATTATTGTTCTT